TCACAAGATTAATCAAGGCACACTGAACACAGAGCCCTCCTTTTTCTTCTTTATTGCTTAAATCCCTAGATCAGCAGCATCCTACAGGAAGCTGAAGAAGTTCAGGAAAAAAAATGACACAAAATCAGATACAGAAAGAGAATTGGGTAAAAAGGCTTTGCTCATTGTTGATATGACTCAGAGGATCTCCTGGCAAAAAGAGGGGGCTCCACCTTGTCCTGGGATTCTGAGCCCCAGATTGCCAGAGAATTAACCTGGATTTCGGAATGTTGAGTGTGGTTGGAAGGAGGGAAGATGACAGTGGGTAGGACAGGGTGGTCCAAACCATCTGAAGTCCAAAGTCAAGAAGAGCAATCACAAAGTATTTTGTCTCCCCTCCTGGACTGGACACCTGAGGTACCAGCACCCTGGGAGGTGCTCTGGGGTAAGAACTCATTCACTCAGAATGAAAGCCCATGAATTTTAAATAGAAAACAATATGTCTAGAATATGATTTCCTCTGTTCTAGTGAGAAGTTAAGCAGGAAGTGAGAGATGAAGACGTGATTCAGTTCTGCACAGCACAGCTGAGGAGCAAGGCAGCATCTATTCAGGTAAAAGCAGATGGTAGAAAAGAAATGTGCAGCACCTGCAACTCTGATCTACACAAACTCAAGGGCAGCCCCCAGAGGGGGTGGTCTGTGTGGAATAAATAGAAATGTTAGAGTATCACAAGCCAATGACAAGAAGATGAGACTCAAAGGAATTGAATTCAGCAAGTCTGATTTATCCCACCACTGCCCTCCCACTATTGGGAGCTCCCTTCTCACTGCACGAGCTCGGTGGGTAAAACCACAACACACCAGAGCCCATCAGGTGTCTGATTTACAGGGTTGCAATCTACTACAAGGTTACACCAGGGCAGCTCAAGAGGCAGAGCAACCCAGGGAGATAGAAGGTTTCACTTTTCAAATCCACAGAGGTTTTAGCTGGAACTGACCCTTACAGGAAAAGTGAGCTCCCAATGAGACTTAAGAAAGTACCTGGCATTGAGAGGCTTCCAGGGAAACCAGGGGCTGAAAGGCATCTGGGGGAGTGCCCATCTCTGCTTGTGAGGAGAGACAAGTTCCTTCAGAGCCCTGTTATCTGTGATTATTCACCTTTAATGAGTCCTCCCATCTCCCTCACTTCCTGCTGTGTGACCTCGTGCTACACACTTTTGCTCACCAGGGTTTCCTCTGGTGACACCCCTTTGCTCTTTCTGAAGACAGACACTTTCTCTGTCTGCATTTCCATGGAATCCCTGCCGTGCCCTGCCTTTGATGCCTCTCAGTTTCCACTTGCAGAAGTCCCTGAGCTGGAGGATTCAGGTGCCCACCAACGAGGACAAACCCCTGGGTGTGAGCACTGACCTGGCTGAACGCTCTGTGTTCAGGAACCGGCCCACAGTTCTCACCCTGGCTCTGCCTCACAGCCTCATTATCCCCCCCCATCCTCCCATCCTGAGATCTTTGGAAGACAAACTGCACTGCAAGCCAGGCACTACTATTATTAGAGCTCTGGGGTGGCACAGAGACACTGGCAAGAGACACAAAAGCAACATAAATCCAAGGGCAAGGAGAGCAGACAGAGCAATAAAGCACAGAAGATGAAGAAAGAAGAGGAAAAAAATCTAGTGAAAACCAGAGTACAGCACTGGGATACTATTTTCATGGCCTAAGTATCTATGGAAGGATAACATTATTTTGAAGCAGTTTTACAAAATCCAGTTGTCCACCTTCTCAGTCTTTGAGTTCCTAGAGGCCTGTAGTTCTGTAGCTGCTCCCACCTAAATCCACACATAGAAAAGGCTTTTTGGATGGTCTGGTTTATAAATATATTGACTGCCTACAGCTCAAGGAGGCAAGGAGATACTCTATTACCTTCTGAGATCAGTCAGGATTATCCAGTAAGCACAAAAAAAGCTTGGCTGCTGACCTGAAGGGCAGTGAACTAAACCAGTATTTCTATAACTGCATATGTAGTGCTCTGAAAAGGAAGATCAGCACAGAATTACAGCATCAGCCAGAGCTGAGTGAGGCTGGAACCAACACATTCTGTGTGTGTTACTCTACAGTGCTCCTGAGCAAGCAGCACTTGTGCTCCATCTGTCAGCGTGTCCTCTGCTGTCACAGGATCCTTGCTGCTCACACCACCACCTCCTGCTCCTTTCCATTATGGATGAGGCTGGAGTGTCCAGGGACTTTTCTGTACAGGGAGTTACAGTGTCCCTCCAACCAGTTTTCATTATATCTCTTGGGCAAAGAGTCACTTGTATCTCAGGATTAATGAAAAAGAAGACAAAAATTCAAACTGTGTCTTTGTAATTCCTAAGGAACCAGTTCCCTTTGCTCTCCGGAAAGCATCAGGAGCTGAGAGTGTATGGATTGGCTTTTGAATGTTTGGAGGGAGAGAGGTACCAGACTGGCTGTACCTGCAAGGAATGGGGTATGGGATGAACAGAGGGTCAAACACTGCCTTTGGGGATTTCTTTCCCCCTTCCTGTTTGACTTTTCAGAATTATCTCCTCCTAAAAAACAGGTGCAACTTTGTTTCTCGGTTAAAAGGATTTTTTAAATTATTTATTTTAAAGCCTGTTTGATGAATGGTATGAACTGCCAGCAAATACTACATTTCACTCCCCCTCATTAACATTGTAAATTAATTTAGGACTCATTTAGATGCAGGATTAACAACCTGAGGACTCACCCACTCTTTATTCAGAGGGCATCCTCAGGATGAGCAGAGTTTCGTCTCACATCACTCAGTTCAGCAGGACCATCTCTGGGGAAGCAAATGGTATTTGTGTCCCTGCTTGCAAAGAAGCTGCTCAAGGTTAAGGCAGAGGTGTGGGAGACACCAGTCCTGGCCCCAGCACTGCTCCAGGTCCCTCTGCCACCCTGGGCAAGTGCTTTTACACTCTGCACCCATTTTCCCTGATTTGCACTTTGAGAGAGGTCAGACTTGGAGAACAGAGCAAAGATTAAGAGCAGTGTTTGTGGTGGTGTAGGGCAGCATCTTTTATTTCTCCAGGGTTAAGGGGACCTGGGCTGTGGGCCAGCTGCCAACACAGAAATTTGCTAAGCTGAGCAATACTTTTAATACATTTTCATCTATGTGCCCCTACCCTTACTCTTATGTGAAATGGTGCTTTATTTTGTGAGCACTCTTTTCCTCTGATGGCACTGTGATTAGGGCATTATTATCTATATTGCAGGAGCAAAGTCAAGCCCTCAGTTTTCAGATCAGAAAAAAAAAACACCCATCAAGAGAAAATACTGCTTTCCTTAAAGCAACAATTATCAGTCAGAAAACTCTTGACACACTCAAGAGCAATCCTGCAATATCTCAGTGATGCTGTTTTCAGATTCCCTGTGTGTTTGCTGGAGAAATAAATAACATTTCTTGCAATTAACAAATGAATGCCCTGTTGAAGCTTAGCTTTTACTAGCTGTCCATAAATCATCTGCAGAAGCATCTCATCCACTGAAGGGAATGAAGATTAAATACAAGCTTTGGCAAGTGTCCTTTTACCAGCAGAATATTTTCTTGCAGGCACTTTGTGTCTAACGCTACATTGAGGACCCTCTGAGCACAATAAATAAACACCAATGATTGCTGCAGAAAGGAGCCTGACAGACAAGCAGTGCCACTTTGGGCAGAACTGATTGATGCTCCTTATAATCAGTGACACTTGTACAGCTCAGCCCGTCCTGGCCACGTGCTGCACACACCAGCTCAGCTGAGCTCTGCCAGCCCACAGGGGCAGCACTTGGGCAGGTTTAATACAAACTGGTATTAGTTGCTTGTGTTCCAACATTACCAAGAAGTTGCAGCCACAGATGAGGACCCTGCTGTGCCGTGGAGGAGATGCTGCAGTGCTTCCCTTAGCTTGAAATCAAAGACCAATTGATGGAGCTCCAGAACCTTCTCACCTCCGGTGTGATCTTAAAGAATGAAGGATTTTATACAGTCCAGTGTTTGCCACAGACAAGCTCCTGACAGGAATTTGGTATCCACTGTGATAGCATGGGAAAACGTGTCTTTCTGGCACACTGTTCAAAACCTGATTGAATTCTCCTTTTTTTTTAGAGATGTAATTGTTCCAGAGTGGTTCCCTCAGACAGACAACAGTGACAAGACAACCACAGCACCACAAATCTGTGACTCCAACTAATAATTCTGCAGGAGGTTTCCAAACCAGACCATTTCCTTAAAATACTGCATTTCCTCTCTGGCTGCTCCTTTCAGCTCTCCATAAGGATCAAATGTGCTGTCAAGAGACAGCACTCAGTGTCATCATGTCATCACACCCAGCACAGGGACACAGCCACTCCTCCAAGCCACCTCAGCACTAGAGGCCAGAGAAGCTGGGTGTGTCCTGGGGTTGTGCAGCTCTGTCTGCAGGGCTCTGGGACATCAAAATCCCTGGACATCACAACTGCAATAATCCTTCCTCAACCACAACCAGAGACATGTCTGAAGGCAACAGCACCCAAGGGCAGTTGTTAATCCATGAGTTCCCATGGATGCAGTGACTGTCAGCCCTGCCTGCAGCTTTCAGCCTCAGGTACTTGACCTGATGAGTTTTGCATTTTCAGGCCACTGTCCATTCAGCAGATTCTCTGCAGAGCACGTGAAGGGCATCATATATCACACTTTTTACCAGCTTAAAGCAGGCAGAACAACAGGATCCTGCTGTTGGTTTCTCATTTCTAGGGGAAGTAGTCATCTCCTAGTTGAATTTAGTTGTCAAATAATATCATTAGGTTTGTTTGCTTTTGGCCCATTCTACACTCAAGTCATCCTGAGCCCCGACCTCCTGCCCAGCAGCAAATCAAAGCCCAAAAAACCCCTCATGTTCATTCACCTTCCTAGTAAGAGTGTATTTATTCACCTTCCTAGTAAGAGTAAATTCCACAACCAACAGACACAAACAGGAATCCATAAGCACCCTTTGGAGAAGAGGACACTCATTCTTACCTGTCTGTAACAAACCAGCCCCGCTGTCTTTGACTCCAAAGTGCTGCTGGATGTCCAATAACACACCTACAAGGAAAACAGAGAGCTTTAAATACCAGGATTTCAGACACATAACTTCTAAAGTTTGCACATTAGCTTCTTTCTTACACATGCACACTCAGTAATTTTGGGCTATTACAAGAAAAACCCAGGTAGGCAGATATAAGATCATACAATGAATTGGGGAATTAAATTCTCATGAATGAGAAACTGGTCTTTCTACTTAAATAAGAGCAGGGTTTTCTTTTCGTGTGTTTTCTGCAGAATCCAGACCCATTGCTTCTGTTATTTGACAGAAATCCAGAGAAACTGATTCTACACCTTGAAATGGTTTGACAAGACAGATTGAATCCAAGACAAGTTTTAACACATCTCTGTTGGAAGGAGATATGACACATTGATAGGAGCAATGATGGAAGTTTTCATATTTAACTAGTTCTGGGGAGTTCTTACTTTCAAAACAAATGCAGCAAATAAATTTAAAAGAGCTTAGTAAAAGTGACCAAATGTTTAATTTTAAAGCAGCTACACAGAGAACCAGTACCAGGGTCCTCTCTTCCCTGAATCCCCAATATATTAACTGGCACAAGCAAAATCAACAGGTTTTGCAGTATTCACACGTTCAGTGAGATGTGATGGTTTTGTTTCAAACATATTAACACATGTAACATCAGGTATATAGGAAGAGCCCTGCTTTTGTAGCCAATTACTAAAGGAAAACCCACAGGAGAGCTTTGGTAGCTCATCTTGGGGGCCACATTTGCCAAGCTGTTCATGGCCCACTTGTCTCAGATGCAGATCCACAGGCCTGGATGTCTGTTTGTGGTCTAAATAACCTGCATCTGACTCCCTGGGTCTGGAACAGGCACTGTTGCTCTCTGAATATCTGGGACTTCCTTATTTAGGCTCCTGTTCTTCCCCAAACCTGAGGATACGCAAATAAAAACAGGCCAAGAAACACCATTCTCTAACGACACTCTAACTTCACCTCCAGCTCAAATTCTGATCCAAGGCTTTATCCAAAGTGCTTCTGCTCATCACTGCAGGTCACAGGAATCAATTGAGCATCAACCTGAACTCACTCACCACAAATATCTTGTCCTTTGGGACTGCCAGGATCACACTTAATGACAAACACCCAGAGATAAAACACCCAGAGATAACTATTCCCAGAAGACATGTGGGACAATGCCAAGAAAACAGTCATAAATTAAAGGCACTAAAGGGAAAAAAAAAATGAAGAGAAGGAAAAAATAAGAAAGCTCATTTGAGCTATTCTTGTACTACTTGTACCTCACCATTTACTCAGGGCAGCACTCAGGTGGGCTTTAGACCATCAGGATCTGCCCAGAAACATCAGTGCAACCTCCTGCAAGATTCCCCACTTCCCTGCTCTCTCATCAGACTGTTTAGCCCAGAGCAGACACAGCTGAGGGTGGGGAAGGGTGTGAATCTTATCAATGTACAACAGTGCTGATAGCAGAGGGGCAGGGCCCGGCTCCTCACACTGCTGCCCAGTGAGGGAGGCCAAGGGCACCAACTGAAATCCAGGACATTCCATTCAAACATAAGAAAGAAACCTTTTTACTGTGAGGGAGGTCAAACACTGATGTCCAGAGAGGCTGTGGGTTCCCAGCCCTGGAGATATTCAAAACCCAACAGGACACAGTCCTGAGCAACCTGTTCTAGTTGGCCCTGCTTTGAGGAGGGGCCTTGGTCTAGATGAGCTCCAGAGGTCACTCCCCACTTAAATTACTCTGTGATTCTGTAATTGCCTGAAGCATTAAGTGCCTGATTGCCTCCAGCCTGACACAGTGTCCCCCTGGCCCTTCTTTTCTTTTTTGGAGCATTGCTGTCTACTGTAATTCCAACAGGAATTTCTTTGCTTTCTCTCACATGGCAGATTTAACTCCATTTACAAAGTGCCCTGGCATTTCTTTGCTGTGCTTCCCTCATTTGCTCCATTAATAACTGGGATATCATTATCCAGGTTATATCTGATGAACAAAAATGAATTTGCATTTGCCTAGCAAACCCCTCCATGGCTTAGCTGACTTACCTCCTCCCCTTGGTGTCCCACTCTTCCACAAAACAAAAATAATAATAAAAAAATGTTTCTTTTGCAACCCAACCTGCAAACCTCACTTGACTTAACCAGCTCTGAACACCTGCACTTTGTGCTCCTTTCCTGCTGGGTCCCAGACTGCCCACGTCAGGTGGAGCTCAGCAAGTCAAAACGACTTGTGGGCACCATAATCCCAATTTTATGGACAATAAACCCATCAAGGACAACATGGAAGGAGGAGGAAACACTGAATACTGTGTTTTCTGATGCTCTCCTATCATCACTCAGTTGTGCAGAGAAACTAAACACCCTTTTCACTCCCTGCAGCTAAGCAAGGGGGTTGGACTAGATGGAATACATTCCATGGTGGAACACACACACACACACACACAAGGCCAAAAGCTCCCTCCACCACCCTGAAAGGTGCCCACCCTGCCTACAGCACATATTCCCAGCCATGCCACAATGCCAAGGAGGCACATTAAACCACGAAAACTGTGAGGAACAGGAGCCTGGGATGTGATGGAAAACATCGACTCAGAAGGAAGATTTTTATGGACTTGCATCATAAACCAGAACAGAAAGTACAGGAGAATATAATGATGCCTACACAGCAAAGCAGAGGAGGGTTTCCAGTTTGTGACAAATTATCTGTCCAGTGACAACAGCTTCACAGTCCTACAGTGATTCTTCACACAACAGACCACAGTGTGTCTTACAAGCTTCAACCCCTGGAACCACAAATAAAACACATTTAGGACCCTGACAAGCAGCCACCTTGGGTTAATCCTACAACCTCATTCTGGTGGTGGAAAGTGGGTTCTGAGGAGAGTCAGAGCAACAGGGCAACGAAGAACCACTATTATACGTCCTGTGTGAGCTTGGAAGAAGGTCTCAGAAGATGAAGAGAGATCTGCACGTCTAATTGGCATGGACTTCCTCCTCCAAGGCTACTTCATATTCTCTTTGGACTACAGGTGTTTTGATTTGGGTTTAGAGCATTCAATTAGAGGCAGCAGCAGGCAGATGATGCAACACATCCATGAAGTGATAGTAATTCCTCTGCTGTGGGAGTTTTCCTGCTCAGCACACTCATGTGGGAAGACACTCCTCCTCCTTCCTCAAATTTACTCAGCTCTGTTTCCACCTCACCGTGGCAGTGACTCAGCCCAGACTTTAATAAGATTTAGGGATGCAATTAAGCAATGATAGACCAGGGGAGAATACAGGAAAATGATAGAGCTTTTGACTTTCCCTTCTGCTCGTCTGTGATGGGAAGGCAGAGGGCTGGAGCCAGGCCCCAGACAATGTTTTGCCTGCAGAGATGTGCTCCAGGTGTCTCCCAGCACCTGATGCAACCCAAGGAAGCCAAGCCTCCACATGTGGCTGGCAAGGCCTTGCTTGGATCAAAGCTCATCCCTGTGTCCCAGAAGGATCTCAGAACAGCCCAGAGCAGCCAGCAGGCAACAGCCTTCCCCCAGACAACCTCTCCAGAGGGCTGCTGGCCATTGGGGATGTCTGTGTGATTACACGGCACAGGGTGTGATAGCACCTATTATTTCTTAAGCACAGTCTGTATTTTCTCCCAAAGTACCTCACCAGCTGAGCCAGGCTCTGTTAATGCTGACATAGAGCTTGGAACTCGAGATGAAACCCGGGCAGCACCAGCCAGGAGTGCTGATCAAGATGGGCACAGAGACAGGGCTCCCTGGGACACCCAGAGTGAGCAGGGACAGGTTCCTACAGCCCTTTCTAGGCCTGCTGTCCAAGGACCTGGCAAAGACACCACGGCAGTTACGGGACTTTTGGGGGCACTGGGCACGAAGAGGACTTTTAAGAGCAATTTGGAGGATAAAAGGGCTTGGGGTGTGGAGTGTTAGAGATAGGGAGGGCATGTCAAGTAAATGGGAATAGGAACCTGGCTGACCTCATCCCCTCACAGGGTCAGAGGGTGTCCAGGGTACTGCTGACATTGGCAATGACCATTTCACAAACACTGAATACAAAAGACCTAATTCGGAGGCTTTTGGTATGCAAATCCACATTTAATGGCCCAAGTTATCTCTGATTTAAGGGAAATACTTTGGGAAAGGCAAATTTTCCTGGAAGTGTGTGGTTCACACTTAGAACAGGGGGGCAGGTGGTACAGATAAGGCATGACCAGATAGGTTCTATCTTCCTGACCAGAGCTACAACTCAAAAGCTGCAGGATTCAACAGGGGTTCTTCACCCATTTACTGCTGCCTGAACATATGAATACAGAGTAAGAAGCAGTGTTCATAAGCTAAACCACAATGAAATCACATTTTCAAAGCAAAAGGACTTTAGAGCTTCCCTGGGAGAGACCCATTTTCCAGTCACCAAAACAAAACATCATGATTTGGTTTCAAAGCAGGTGTAAAATGTAGAGTTGGCCTGAGCACAGAGTGAAGAGCTACAGAAGCAAAGCCACAGGTTCTCAGCTCACCCAGTCTTGCCTCAGTAAAGCCAGTGCACATTCTTTAAGCACTGAGTGTGTGTGTGCTGCAATACCTCTGGCCAACCTAACCACTTACTTGAAAAGCATGTGCATTTTTAAAGGTATTTTTTAATGGGGAAAAATGATGGTGGCTTGAAGGGAACCAGCACAGAGTTTTCCACAGGATGCAGGCCGGGCACTGACAGCAATTGTGTGCCCCCAGCACCCTCCCTCCTGCCCCACTGCAGGCCTGGACCTCTCCTTGGGGAAGCCTCCAAGAGGTGCTGGAGAACCCAGATTCACTCAGCCCTCTGATAACCCAAGCAGACTCTGGACTGACAGCTCTGTTTCTTCCCCTACCTCTTGCCACCTTCCCCTCCTCCTCAGGAAGGCATTTTCCTTCCCAGACTGTGTTCCCCTGGTGCTTCCAGGACCAGCTCTCTCAGGAGGAGGTAACTAAGCAGGGATAGCCAAGCCCTGGCCTTCTAACCATTAAAGGCATCC